ATTTAGTTATGTTATTATATGTTATTATGTATAATATATGTAGGATATACATTCGCATTACATTTAATTGAGTTATTTCGCATAACTTGATATTGCGTCTTTGATAAATTCATAGCTGTCATTAATGCTAATCCCTCTAGTGGCGTATTAGGTACCGTAGAACGGGGTGACTTTGATACGCGGGGTGACTTTGATAATTTCGTCTGTTAGTTACAAAAATAATGATTTGAATGTGAAATTGCACAATTAGAGACTATTTTTTTTTTTTATTTTTGTACATAATTATATTCTGCTAATATTTTTGAAATTTTAATGATTGTGAAGTGATTCTAAATTGTGCAAATGTGTTAGGAATAACATGACTATAACAAAAAAATAGCGATTTTTACACGTACCAAAAAATGCCAAAAAATCTTGTGATTTTAATTTTTTTGAAATTTTTTTTTTCTAAAAATCTATACTTAGATGTTCAAGTGGTATTTTCCAGTTATAATACCACTGGAATATACCACTCGTTTTTGGTTACTCTCAATCACATTTGCAGAAAAATCAGTGTAAATCAGGGTAAATCAGTACTTAATATTTATATGCAATTAGTATTATTTTTTTGTTAGTGTTATTTTATAACTGCTAATTACTATAACAATGTTATTGATATATTATTTTTCTGTGTTTAGCATATTAACATCAAATTTATTTTTGTTTTTTCTTTGTCCATTCTGTAGATATATTCGATAACCAAACTTGTTGTCTAAATTTATAATTTTACCAGTAAATCTTATAAGTTTATTAATATGTTGTGTTCTAATTTAGTAAAAGTCAAAAAGAAAGTATTAGCGACACTGTAAAGAGGGTTAAATCAATAAGCCATTAGGAAATAATAGACCATCAAAGTCACCCCAAACGACGGGGTGAGATTGATAACATTTTGGATTAAAAATATATATATTAAGACAAAAAAAAATTAAAAATATTTAATGGAATTATATAAAGAAAAGGTATAATGTTATAACGGGAAAAAAAAAAATCAGAAAAAATTGTAATGAACCAGATTTATTTTGCAAAAATGCTCAAAATCCTAACAAAGTCACCCCGTTCTACGGTACGATTTGCTTGTTTTTGTCGTGAATAAAACATTTTATTTCATTTGCCGAATCTGCATTTGATAAACATTCTTTTAATACGTACAGTAAACTATATCGCTTTTTCTTTTTTAACCCCATTTCTGCTGCTCGTAAAATTTTATCATGATCATGATTTACTAACAATATGGATGCGTGACGACGTTTACTTCGGTAGGACATATCTTCGTATTTTTTACATGGTCTCTCAAATGACTGTTCATTTAAACAAGAAACATTTAAATCGACGGTTTGTGATGATTGTTCGCTAGGTTGCTAATTAATTAAAGACAAAATTTTATTGTTAAGCCACAATGGCTCGCCAGCTAAAAATTTGCTCTTATTTCGAAATTAAAAGTTTTTAAGCTTTAGAAAAGCAAGTAAAAAATGTTTGAACAATTTTAAACTTAAGAATCGACTTTTCAATAGAAAGAACTAAATAATTCGTTACAAAAATATCGAATTTAAGCAGCGGTTATAGTACAAGTTTTAAGAAGCAAAAATTCGAGGTTTGATGTCGGCTCTGATCAAATAGGCGATATTAAGAAAGGAGGCATGAACTCCCTGGTTAAATGCTCATTTCCGGTGGTTTGATAAGAGTTAATAAGGTTATAAAGTTTGATAAGGCCATAAGAGTTCTTGAAGCTAATTACTAATTTTTGAAGCAAAATCATAAAAACACAAAAAATTTTGCTTAACAAGCTTAAATGAAATAAAATGATGGCAAAAAGTTCTAATTTAAATTTGCTTATTATATAACAGCAGATACTAACGAGTAAATTTTCAAAATTTTAGTTCTTTGTCTACTACTTTGACGTAATTCAGTGTCCATTACTTTGACATTGCATTTTCATTCGATGACAAGAACATTAAAATCAGTCCAGAATCTTCTTTAAGTATTAAATCTGAACATAAAACTAGAGCGAGGTTCAAAAAGTTTACACGTTAAAAAAGTAAATGAACTTTGGCAGTTATCAAGTTCTTTAATTATTATTTTTTAAGGAAAATGAGAATGAGAGCCAATAACAAGGGGAAAGAGGACATTTTTTTTTCTTATAAATCTTTAGATATAGAGATCTTTTTTTTTGAAATTGAAAGTTGTGTCCCTCTTCCTTTGTTGTTGGACGTGAGAATAAAGAAAAGAAAAAGATAGAAAATAGGAGACTAATTATTTTAACAAAAACTTATTTAAGCTTATTACTCATTTATATGTCAATTTTTGAAAAGTGTGGTTGGAGTTAGTTCAAAATTGAGTTCAATTATTCAATTTTGGAAGTTTTTTTTGCAAGTTTTTTGATTTCAAAACTATCAAAACGTAAGTATCGATTAATAATTTAAACAGTTATGGTTAATTAGTCATTATTTTTGCTAGTTTTAATGCATAAATCCTTGTTCGTAACCATTTTTACCTCTCTCCAATAAGATGATTTGGAGACGGTTGGCTGAAGAGATTTTAATGGGTCGTCGTCCAACCATAAAACCACGTTTAATTAAAACCATGAAAAAAAAAGCGACTGAAATGGGCTAGAAAACACCAGAAAATGACTAGTGAAGACTGGAGTAGAGTAAATATGACTTATGATATTGCAAGAACCGTATTTTAGTATAAAGTATTTTAGTATTTTAGTATAAAGTATTAAAGTATTTTAGCTTTGTAATTTAAAATATCTTTGTAATGTCAACATTTCAAACCTTAGTGGACAAAAACTTGTCCGACGTCACCCAGGAGCGAAATTCCACCAAGACTGTCTTATGGAAAAAGGTTAAACACACTGTGAGTGTAATATTGTGGTCTGTAATCGGAGCCATAGGTATAGTTTCCCTCTAAATTGTGGAAGGGACCACGAAGCAGGAACAGTACAAGCGAGTACTGGAAAACAGGCTCTGCCCCAGATCCAAGAATAGCTCCCTGCTAACGAAGAGTATATGTTCATGCATGATACAGCACCATGCCTTAAATCTTAGAGTGTTACAGCATTCCTACCTGAAAAAATTGTGTGCGTTTTGCCTTGGCCGTGGAATTTACCCCTGAACCCCATACATAAACGTTTACATGAGCCCCATATAAAATCTATAAGAGTTCGCAAAACAGGAAATAGCCAAATATATCACTACCAAGCAGCAGTTAATAGAAACCCTTATTAAAGAGTGACATAACAACCTCAGTCTCCATGACAACGCATAAGACTGCATAGAAAGCATGCCCCGACGCCTGAGAGCCTTTAATGTAGCAAAAGGTTGTATTTCAAAATATTAGGATTATAACCTTATTTGTTATTTTAAACTTTTTATAAAAAAACAAATAGCTATGAAGAAGTAATTATGTTGTTTTACAATCTAAATGAAGCCCCCTAATGATAAAGACTATATAAAAAAATAGCTACAAGATACGTATTTATTCATTTAAGTTTTTTAAACTTAAAAATTAGTAAAAAAGTTAAAAAAAAAAATTAATAATTTTTGTCATTAATAATTTTGCCACCCACTGTAATTATTCTTTAAAACAATTCGTAACTAAATACACTTTAACTTTTTTTTTTTTATTTATTTAAAAACTGTTTTTAAAAGATTTTTTATTCATAATAATTGAATACAAGCTATTATTATTGATTTTAAAAAAATACGCTTAAAATGTGTTTTCATGCTAATAAAAGTTATTGTTGTCATTCAAAATCTCTAGTTAAACATACTGTGTCTACCCCTGTGTAGCTAATTAGCCTTTGTTTATGCATCTTCAATATAATCATCGTATTGTAAGTATATATTTGACAAATTCTTCATTCTTTGAAGACATGACGCTCAAACTTCATTTTTATGAACGACTGTATGTAAATGTATCAATTGTGTTTAGTTTTATTTGTTTTACGATTAAAAGATTGGTTATAAGTTATAATCAACCTTTTCTAGTTATAATTTTTTTTCTACTTATAATATAACTAGAATAATAGGTATACTATTAATTATAACATAGAATATAATTATAGGAAACAAAATAAAAACAAATATATTCAGTGCCAAAAATGCTTTAATCAATCAAATGTTAAATTACATAATAAAGAGAGACTTTTGGCATTAAAATTGGTTCAAATGATTATTAAAGTATAAGATTGCACTTTTTTCTATCGTCTGTAAAAATTTTCATCGAGTAGTTGCTACATGAAATAATTTGGAAACATTTCTACTAATAATTAAAACAAAACTTTTCTGGTAGAAAAATATTTAATTGATCGTTTACTATAATAAATAATTTTTTTGCCACATTAAAAAGTCAACATTGGAATTACGCTACAAGGAGTACCATCCAAAATTCTTATGTCGGAAAAACATCAAAAAAGTAAGTTTTAGATGATATTGAAAAAGTAGACAATTATTTAAGTATAAAACTTATAATAAAGGACCAACAGAATAATACCTATCTCAGAATGATACCTATTTCAGTTGAGGCATTTTTTACGTTAATTCGAGCAATGCTATTTCTCTATTAATATTTACTACTCCCGCGTTCCTATTTAGTCTTATCTATTATGTTTTCCTGCATTTTCGTCTATTCAGCTAATTTTTTTTTATTTTTAACCGATGAATACTTTTTTATATTGCTTTCAAATTCACAATTGCACTAGAAAAAATGTTGTAAACAACTAACCTAAAGTAAAACGGGAAATGTATCTATTTATAAATTCATATAAAAGATTCAAATTCATATATGTAACTGTTAAAATAAATTTAGTAAATTAAAAATTAATTGATTTCCATATAAAGTAGCTTAAATTACATTTGTATTATTTTTAATGATTAATATTTATTTAAAAAGTATTTATAAATCCTCCTAAATCTATTTTTTAAAGTTATTTTCTCTTGTGCGCACGTGTCCGTATAGATTCTCAATATCGTTAATAACAGCCATAAATGCGTCTAAAAAAACTAAAGAGTGTTTATGCCGAGGTTATGCCGATGTTGTAAAAGTTAGATATGAGTGACGAAGACAAAGAAGTTGATGTTGAAAGTGGAGAGGAAGTACGAATTCTTAACAAATTCTTCATTGAGAGTCAAAACTTTTAGTTTTTAAAGTGGAAATATATATTATATGTATATTGTATGTATGTATGAATGAATACATACATACATACATACAATTTATGTATGTATTCATACACACATACATACACACATACATATATTATATACTATATATATGTATATATATATATATATATATATATATATATATATATATATATATATATATATATATATATATATATATATTTATATATATATATATATATATATATATATATATTTATATATATATATATATATATATATATATATATATATATATATATATATATATATATTCTAAAAATTATAAATAAAGATCGATATAAAACATTTTTTGTAATTATATAAAAGCGTCAATGTTTATTAACCTCATTTAATCTACTTATTCAGAGTTATTTTGTTGTTTTAATAAATTTATAAAGTGTATTTTGTTAAGAGCTTGAATTGGTTGTTTACATTTTAAAATATTTGGTTATAGTCTATAACTTTTCAATAAAACATGCACTTTTATAAATCTTTTTCAAGGTGATTTAATAGTAAGATATTATATCATAGACCTATATTAAAAATATAGGTGGCCATATAATATTTTCTTAAAATCTTTGAAAGATTTACGCCAATACATTATTTTTAATCTTATTTTTTATCACTTGTATTTTAATTTATATATATAAATTGCAGTTGAACGAGACTTATGGTTAAATTGCTTGTGCGCTAATAATTTTTAAAAACACTATATGTATATATATATATATATATATATATATATATATATATATATATATATATATATATATATATATATATATAAATTGCAGTTGAAAGAGACTTATATGGTAAAATAAGTCCCTTTCAACAACATTTTAGCACATCAACAATAAAGCGACATTTTAATGTTGTCTAAAAGTTAAAACAATTAAAATAATGCAGATATATATTAAGTTTTATTGTTTTTAAAAAAAATTGCAATTATAATGACTATAGAGTTTTTTCATTAGTAGTGTTTTAGTATTTTTATTGTTTTATAATATTTTTAAAACATGCGAGGAGTGTTGCTACATTGACTGACAAATAGGTAAAACATATGTTGCTTTTTTACTGTAAAACATGCATGGAGTGCTGCTATATCAACTATCTTATAGCTTGCTGCTACACGGAAGTGCCACTATATCAACTGAGAGTTCAGTTTAGGCAAACAATCTATCATTTAAAAAAACTTTTTAAACTTTTAAAAAAAAGTTTTTAAACTTTTTCTGGTCTGCTTTATTTCATTCTCTTTAAAACTACAGTTTATGTTAGAAACATTTTAGACTTCCGTGCTAGACTCTGTGTATATATATATATATAAATATATATATATATATATATATATATATATATATATATATATATATATATATATATATATCAAGGGCTATTCTAGAACGTTTTTGACATCGTCCACCGTATTGGGCGCCGCCAAAATTAAAAATTGAGGACCTTTTTTTTTTACTTTTTTTACTAGAAGTATTTTTAAACCCCTGTGTAAAAAATATATGGGTAATTCTATGTCAAATGAGCATGCTCACAACACCCCATTTTAGATTTTGCTGATTTTTCAATATGTTATAGGGTTTATAAAAATTAAGAAATTTTAACCCCTTAAGGTTCTTGAGATATTCAGGATTCAGTTTTCTTATTTATGCTGACAGCATTTTTTACAAAATTTTTTTTTGTTGTTAAATAGCAATATTTTATGAACCAAATGAGGTATCATCCTGAAATTTTGTACATACACAAACTTCCACATGGCGGATACAAATTTCAAATTGAAAAATATTTTTGACCACCACAATTAAATGTAAATTAAATATAAAGGCATATATTTTTGGGTATTTTGACTGTCAAAATGTTGATGTCACCTTGATAAATTTTTTTGAGGCATTGTTATAACTTACAATATAGGTATCAAACATCATTATCAATAAAAAATATATTACTGTATTTTTCAACTTTTCTAAATGCAGCCTTTTGAGTAAAGCATAAAATGTATTGCTAATTTATTTATTATAAAAATAGCTATATTCTTATTTTATGTTGTAAAAATATATTGTTAAAGTCTTTGTGAGGGCAATAAATTTGTAATTTATTTATATTTTTTTGTGCTTAGGGTCAGATTAAGTATGGGGAGGGGGGTGTTATCCTCCTCCTTCTTAAAAAAAAACTGTTTTGTTTTAAATTTTTCTTTTAAGCTTTTTGTAGGCCTTTTTAGAGCAATAACTAGAAATATTATTTTTATTTATTGAAGCTATTTTTTTTTTGTATAAGACCAACTTTTTTTTAAGTATAGAAACTTTAATCCAAATTGCATTTATAAAATACATATTTTTAAAAAGGCTATATTTATAAAAGGCTTTTTTTTTAAAATAAAGCCTTTTATTTCCTCATTATTATATTGTTGTTTTTGATTTCATGTTGTAAATATTAGTTTCCTGTTACTTAGCAGAATTTTTATATTTACTTAACTAATTAATAAATTTTAAATGATTACTATATAAATTGTAAATAAAATCAGGGGTGTTCAGTCGTAAAAAAAAAGTAACGACTCCGACTCCAGTTGTTGAAATTTTTTGAGCCCAACTCCAACTCCAAAGCAAAATTTTTGAAAAATTCTTTGAATTCTTTAAAAAATATTACACGATAAGTTAAAAATTTCTTTTTTGACAAATTTATGAAAGTTCTTCAAGGTTTATTATGAGATTTATTAAGGTTAATTAATTGTTTTGTACATGCACATGCAATACCAAGAAGTTTTACTATTGGAGTTTGAGTTGCGATTTTGTTTAGCGACTGTGACTTGGCTAAAAATGTTGCAACTCCGACTCCACAGCCCTGTAAAATAAAAATTAATTACCCTTTAATAATGTATAAGAGAAAGTCATATAATATAGCACATCCAATTATATGGATATTATAATAAAATGTATAAATAATTTACCATAAAGTAAATAATGTTAATGGTATTTCTAAAAAATATTTATTTTGTAAAATATTTCAAAACTAAATTTTTTAAATAAAATTAAAAGTTGGAAAATATGGAAAAGTTCTCTATTGGATTAGAATGTAATGTTGACTGTCACAAGCAAGGTTTAACAAGAAGACAAGGTCTTTTAGACCTATCAACATGATGAAAAACATGTTTATTTGATTGTGGAAAATTGTTTACAACAGTTTGCTATTATCATAGAGAACACTTTAGAGTTTGAAAGAAAGTTTCAGAAATGCTTTAATCTATTTAAAAACATGGAAATGGAAAGAAAAATGTAAAAGGTAATTTTGTTATTATTTGATTTTGATATAAATTTAAAATTTAATTGTTTTATAAATTAATAAATATACTAATATGTTTTTTAAAATTATGCTTAGTTGATATTAGTTTTAAAAAATGAATGTTTCTTTTTTTTTTTTTTTTATAGAAAATGTGAAGATATCACTATCAATAGCAATAACTCAATTTTAAATGAATTAAAAGATAAACTAAAAAATGTGACATCATACTCAGCAAAAATACAGATATTAACATTAACTCCAGAATCATGGTCACTTCCAAAATCTGCAGAATTTTTTAATGTATCTATTTACCTTATACGAGAGTCTAGAAAAGCTAAAAAAACATGGAATTTTGTATAAACCATCATCAAAAAAAGGAAAGTTTGTAACCACAAACTCGTCTGGCACTCACAGTGTTTGTCTGTATCTATCAACAGAATGTTAAGTTGTTAAATGATGCTCTCAAAATTGACAAAGACTATAGAGATTTATTGGGAATAATTGTTTGCAATCAGGATAATCTAGAGTGCTTGTTACATCAATGTCTACTATATCCTGGTATTACTGCTTTAAAGGGATTTTTAACCGGAATATTTGACAACAGTGATAAAGAAATAACAATTAACCAATGGCAAGGTACTGATAGAACTACACTGATCAATAAAAAAATCAATATTGAAGATATTATTGACCTTATATGCAATAAAATAGATTACTTTACATCTCATTCATTTATAGCTAAAAGTCAGGCCAAGTACCTTAAAGACTGCACATTGGTCGGAAACATCACTTTTCTTGGCCAAAACTTAAAATAACGGAATTTTTAACTGGAATTTGAATTTGCAGTATATTTTAAGTGTTTTTGTATAAAATAATAAATTTTTTTTAAAAAAAATTATAAACATTTAGAATTAAAATTAAAAAAAAAAATTTTTACATAAATTTTTTTTTCTTTTCTTTCTGAGTTTTTATTTTTTAGTTCTAAATTAGAAAATATACGATACTTACAAGTAAATATGTTGTTTCTGGAAATTGAAAATATGATTTACACACGAATTTACGAAAATATTAAAATTTCATTAAACTCTTTAATTTAAATACAATTCATTATCTAAAAATGTATATTCCTCTTCAAGTTGTTCAGGATAATCGTCCTCGTCGCCATCCATATTTTCTAAATTGTCAGTCGCACATGTTTCACCAATATCCTCACAATACAATAATTTCTTTATTTCTGGTGGCAGTGTTAAACGCTTCCTTTGTTTAACACGTGTATTTAAGCGAAGAGATAAAATTAATGGATCCGATGTGTTAAGAGCTCTATGAAATACATTGAAAAGATTATCAATGCGGCTAGTCTTAAGTGCATGGTGTAGTCTGTCACTTTTATATATTTTGTTTGTTGACTCAGCTGCATCCTCTCCGAAGTAACCGACAGGAAGTGCTGTATTCTGCATTATTTGCTTTGAGTGAATTATAACTTTATGTACTGTGGGAGTCATTGGCAACCAGGGGTACTTGCTTTGATATAATTGACCAGTTTGAAAGCAATACTCTTCAAATTTTACCAAATTTGTAAAGGAACCTTTGCACATTTGTCGTCTACAAGTACACCATCGGGTCTGCAATTACTTTTTATTGCT